TTTTTTCTTAATATATAATCATCTCCACCTGTCTGTCCAAAAACCTGTTAATCTCTATGGTAATCACTGTGTACTGGAGAACCGTTTTTGCTGAAAGTTTTGAAAGTTATTTTCAAAATAAAGCAGTCCTCTCTCTCTCTCTCTCTCTTATTCCCCTCCTGTATATGAACATCGTCTTTCGATCATTTTATCTATTTTCCACGTGTCCTCCTACAGCCGACAGTCTTCCGTGTACTTTAATCCTTTCTTGAATTTTCTCCGGACTCTTTTTCCCCATTCGATTGTGGAAAAATCAATTATATTCCTTGAGTTATTCGCCCCCTATCCGTTGAAGTTGCTGCAGGTTTTAGCAGAGTTCAGGCGACATCTTAAGGGCAACGTTAAGCCCGTCTTGGCTTTGTCTGGATACTCGAACAGTAGAAGTAGCGTACTTATTCTTTGCGGGTTTCAAAGTGTGTGAGATAATCTGCATGCCTTTTGATCATTTCACATATGTTCACTCAGCGCTAGTTTAGGCAGGTATACGAACCCTGTTTTGACCTCAATCTCAACAAAATCAAAAGGCCTACAAAGTGGAGCAGTGACTCCATGGAGAAAACGTTATCAGGAAACAGCTCTCCTGATTGACAAATACAGGGATCTCGCATGTACCAGTCCGAAGATCTTTCCGTCGTAGTTCTCAAACGTTAACACATTTCTTATTCGAAACCACACTAGCTACTGAAATATTATAAGTACACCCTTTATTACTTTTTGTATAGGTCACCCCCGATCGCGCTACGGGACCTGCTCATCCCTTTGCGCCTTGTAACTCGATCCAGAGCCCCGTAGGCAGTCACACGGCGTCAGGTAATGTATGCAGAATTAGATTGCTGACAAAGACAAGGGAGTTTGCAATGGCCATTTGTGGCTTGCTAGTCATAATTTTGCCACCATCGAGACGCAGAAGCTAGATAAAGCTGAAAACCCACCACCTCCGCATTTTGACTTTTTCACATTTATTATGCTATGAGCGAGCTACATAAAACTGGGCTTTTTAAGAATGAACCGCGATTAAGCACCCTTAAACATGCATGACGGTGTGTTAGGGCTAGAGGAAATTAGATTATAAAAGCCACGTTTGTCACCGCTGGGAGGCAAAACAGCAGCTTAACGAATCATGGTACTTGCGAAAGCGGAAGCCGGCCAAACGATTAATTGTGACTTACCATTAGCCGTCCAGTAGATTTTCTGCATGTCCACTATTGCCATATAATACCCCGAATGACTAGAGTTTGTCTATTCAGCTCCGTTTTATAATTTGAACGTACCTACAAGGAAGGAGAGACATCTCCAGCAGATCCGACGTGCCAGCAAGTAGTTACAGCCAGCATCTCCGTACGTTGGTCGTAGGGGATAGACTATGTCTTAAGTATGGTGTGCAGAGTTTGAGTCGTTCCTCACCCCAGCGATTCCGCGGCTTCCGACAAGTGAACACACTGACCCCGTTCATGCAATCATGACCGACGACTGAGTGACCGCACAAATGTGTACTTAAAACATATCAGTAGGAAATATTGCATTTGTGGATGATTTTACCATACCGACTGCACAGGTCGAGCGCCCCACAAATTGGGCTGGGTCGTTTGAATAAAGTGAACGCTTTAAGGGAGGATCCAGAATGTAACCGCGTGTCGGGTAAAAAAGCAAAGCCCTGACTCAACATAGATGACGACCCGCAACTCTCGTCGTAGAGCACACCTCGTTCACCCTCCATTTCAGCTATTTATACGGCCCATCCATGCAGTCGCCTCGACGCTGAATTCTTCAAAGGTTTTTTAGCAGACATGTTAGCGTAACATCCCCATCCAGACGGGACCTCTCCCTGCTTAACTTTCATCTATCGTTTATCGTTTTCCAATGTACTAAACTCCCTGTTCCTAGCATACATACTTTGCACCCGTTTAACTTTTCCCTAATCTTGCTTGGATAAAAGTGGCGACGTGTCTAACAGACTTGTTTACCTTGTTCTAAGCCAGGACTTATCCCCAGTTCTTCATGTTACACCGCGTGTGCTACCCTCGGCATCTTCGGCTGTTACACAAGTACTAGCTGTCAGTTCTGTAAATCACGGATTCGAAAATACCGTCAGAGGATTGACCAAGAGAAAGCAAGGTGCTGCGAGTTCATGGGCGAGGACGGCATAAAATTGCTTCAGCAGAGGCTGGCCGAACGAACCCGCGAACATAAAGCAACACGCGAAGCAGCCCTAGAGAGCCAATTTCGTAAGCTGCCTGCTCCAATGCCATCCAAGAACGACAAACTGGTGCACAACTTGTCGTCAAAGGAGCTGACGGAGGAACAAATGCCGGTTTTACGGCATGGGGCCTCATTAAACACAGCCGATGCCAAACCTGCCAACATGATCGCAGCAGTGGAATCAATCCTCAGCCAGACGGGAGCGACAGACAAAACGAAGAACCTCATTCGACACCAAGTGTCCTCCCTCCTCATGGCTCATAGGCCGCGCGACGTGCTTCCCAAGGTCGAGCGCGATGCACTTAAGGAACTCAGGGCCGACAACGACCTCGTTATCGTCCCTGCGGACAAGGGGCGTTCAATGGTCGTATTGGACAGGACAGACTACAATCAAAAAGCCAAAAGCTTGTTGGAGGATCGTCAGTCCTATGTCGCGATGCGATCACTGGAAGAAGAAATTTATTGGCCTGACGTTTCGGATTCTCACTCGAATCCATCATCAGAGACATTCGCAGATAGAGGTGAAGGTGGCACCAGGAGTGCAGTACTTATAGCACGTGGCTGCCGTGGACCGTATGCGCACAGTCAGCCGCGTGCTATAAATACTGCACTCCTGGTGCCACCATCACCTTTATCTGTGAATGTCTCTGATTGTGGATTCGAGTCAGAATCCGAAACGTCAGGCCAATAAGTGTCTTGTTCCAGTGATCGCATCTTCGTCTTCTGAACTGCTACCTGGAACTCGCCTGTTCGTTTCTATCAGCTGCTTAACTTTGTCAGCTCCTGCACCCAATCACATCGGCAGTTGGCAGGGGCGAGCCGGACGATCGACTGAGGCATGCGAGAGGGAAAAGAAAAGAACAGTTGGCAGTCCATCCTCACGACAAATATACACATTCCTCATTACACTAAATCTGACCCGCCTGAATCTATCACGGTGCACTAAGAGCCGGCAACTGGGACGTTCTCTTCAGGCCTGTACATTTACAGTGGGTGGGCTAACTCATGAAATGTCAGCCGACATTCCCAAATGCGTTTTTATTTCGAAAAGATTAATTAAGTAGGGCTGCAAAACTAGTCAGCCTGCAAAATAATTCTATAATATTTCAGTTACCTCAGGATGCCGGCTTTCGAACGAACTTCCTTCCGGCTGCATGCAAAAACTTTACTCTGAAAAAATTGACTACTTAAGAAGCATGAATTTTTCTCATTGATTTTCAATGCCCTTAAAAATTCAATTAAATTTCATGGAAAAAATGCATACAAACACGCATTCTTTTGCTGATGCGGTAGACATTTACGTCTTCTTCCAATCTTATACTCGAAGAAAGGGTATAATTCGGTTTTCAAAACTTTTTCCAATTCCCCAATTATTTTGAACCCGCTTTACCGTTACACTTGGATTCAGGGTCTCCAAACTACAAGCCTTATATTTTCCGCGTACGGAAAACCACACATTTCTCTACGTTAATAAAGCGACGACCATATAGGGTTCATAAAATTCAGCAGTGGATTTGATCCATATTGTTAACTTTACAAATCACAATGGCAAACGCGGAGACATGACGATTTATGAACGACCACTTCATGGTATTTAAAAGTTCCACAAGTAGAAACTTTTTAAAACCGAATTATGTCCCGCCTTCGATTATAAAATTGGAAGAAGTCGTAGTTTTCTACCAAATGAGCGAGAGAATTAATAGTTATACGCACGTTTTCTATGAACTATAATTGGACTTTTAGGGGCATCGGAAATCAATGAGAAGGATGCATGCCACATGAGTAGTCTTTTATCGCAGAGTATAGTTGTTGCATGCAGCTGGGAGAAAGTTCGTTCAAGAGCCGACATCCTGCGGTAACTGAATTATTATAGATTTATGTTGCAGGCTGACTAGTTTTACAACCCTACTTAATTAATCTTTTCAAAACGAAAACTCATTTCGGAATTTCGGTTGACATTTCATGAGTTAGTCCACCTACTGTATATTGCTATCGAAACAGTTAATAAGACAATGCGGCCAAGTAGATCTTATTCTGTAGTTGGGGTTTGGAGGTGGGTTGGAGGAAGAGAAAAACAAAATTGACTTCAATGTCAGGGGGGAGGGGAATGGCTGGCACTGGGACAGGTAATTAGATACGGGTGGATAGCTCAGTGGCTTTGACCCATGGTGACTTTCGGGTCTGTACGAAGTTCTTTAGTGCGCATAGAACCAGTTTGTATAGCCTGATTGCAGCCGCCTATGCATTTGCCAACAGACGCTGTCCAAGCGATTTTGGATAGCTTGACGGAATCTTGCAAATCATTTGGAAGGTCCGTCCGGCATCTACAAGGTGATCCGTGTCTATCATGTGCTCGAGGATAGAGCTGTTGACGTTGAAGATAATTTATCGACAGCTAACGTATGCTCGCCAAGTTGCCTTTTGAATTCTTCAATGGCAATTTTCGCGACACTTGGAAAGTTGCCAACTAACGGGAAAATTCTGTCTTTATAGGGGGGTATTTTAGAGTGGGCGGTGGACTGGGAGTTGCAATAGCTCCCTCTTATTACGGCCTTTATTGCATCTTTATTCATGAGAGCTCCGGGCCGCCCTTGCTGTAGCCTAGTACAATTCGTGGGAACCAGGCCGTGTGCAGCACTCGCAGACGGATTGTTTGGCCTTGTCAGACAGTACGGTGGCGCCCACTTCTGTTGCTGCGAAAGTCTGCGACATGATACACTGATTCACAAGAAAGCCATTGATGCTGCGCCCACTGTAGGTTGTCCGCGGTGGATGCCCTTGCCTGTACAGTCAAAATGCCGAACTAAGCGAAGCGACCTCAGTGATACGCTCCCAGCAGTATGTGAGGCCCACTGGACAAGAACACATTCAAGGCGGATGTCGACGAAACAAACGAGAGTGAATTGTTGGCAGCAAAGGCGGTGGGTAAGGACGCAGTATGAGACCCAGGACTGCGTATTACATATAACTGCCGACTGAATCCCACAAAAGTAGTGCTACTTTGCCAGCCACGACAGCAATGCCATCCGCCTTGCCACTGCATCCCCCCGCGGAAATCTCTCGCGAACGGCGAGTACTAGGGGTTTCCTTCCCCTCACCCCTTGAAACACACAAATTATATTGCGGCAACACGCTCACTGTCATTTTCTGCGCTGTCAAGGAAAAAAAATCGGTTCACTCCAACATATGGGGTCTCCCCCCCCTCTTGATTATCATCCGTCCCGCTGAGTCCGTAATATGAGTCGAGACTCGCAAATGAAGAGTTTGCATAGTATGGATGTTAACGGATCTATGTACTAAGAGTCGAGTCCCCTGATTCTCATTTGAAGTCCCAAATGGTAGGGCAACCCGCAAATCCAACGGCAGCTAGAACTTATCTAACGACAAGTCGATGCCGATAGGCGACGAGTCCCACCACTTCAAATATAACAGTCCAACTATCGAAAGTGACCAGGTCCACCACGTGTCCAACAGGGGGGGAGGCAGTGCCGATGACTTACACAGCGCCTACCTCACCCTATCTCCCTTCACACAGCTTGGGCGCGGTGGCTGGTAAGGCCTAAGCGTGCCACATCCACGACCGGCTTTCCAACAGCTTGCCCTAGGCTCGGACTTCAGGTCAGCAACGATGCGGCTATCACAGCCCGGCCTTCGGTAATGAAGACCACTCACTCTGTCACTTGGCACGACTTTCGGTGGGTTGTGACAGATTAAAGGACTCACTTCGACCCAACTGTGAAAAACTCGGTGTCCCTGTGGGATTCGAACCCACGACAGCAAGGACATCGTATTCATTGTAATGAGGAATGGGGCTGATTCGCGGCCATGATGGATTCCACAGTGTCGGTCTCGCTTTCTCTTCCCTGTCTCATACAGCAGTCAAGTGTTCGAGCGCGTCAACCAGCTAGCGCTGTGATTGGGCGCGGCGGCCGACGCAGCGTGAACGCACGTACGGTGGTAGGTAAGCATGGGCTCACAACGGCTCGGCGCAGTCAAGTGAAACGCAAGTACAACCAGTTTGACCCCTGATTTGATCCAGTACAGCCCATTATGGGGGCTGTTTGCCGGAACGACAAGTTCCCCCACCCCCATCCCCGCCTCTGGTGTCCCCGAAGACGCAGGGTCCTGCATCCAAGCTCACGTAGAGGTCTCTGAACAAATCCACAAACCACGCACAAACACAAGTTGCCTATTAATAAGTATTTACAAGTAGAGAGCAAGTGAGAAAAATAGAACAGTCAGTGAGCACGCTCGAGCATGATTATCGAGATATTACGCAAACATTGCGGTAGAAAGACCTCAAAAGGGAGGTTGAGAGGCGGAAGGAGCACAGGGAACAGGACCCAATCACACGCGGGTCTGGTGACAAGAGGGGGGCAAGAGGGCCTTGAATTTAGGGAGATCTGGTTGCGGAGGCTGAGGCGCCAGCTGACGGTGATTTCTGCGTCTTGCTAGTCGCCTTGGACGCGCCCGCAGGCGCCTTCGAGGGGGCGGCCGTGGTGACGCGTTTATCCCTCTTCTTCAAACCGTCAAGGTTGGCTTTTAGGACGTTTGCATAGGCCTGATTAAAACGGTTCATGTCTTTTTGGTGGACCTGCAAAAATCAAAATAAACAGTCGGTTTTTTCAGAAAGAAAACAAAACAGAAAATAAAAATTATTACACAGTATAAGAATGGGCTCGGGGTTGGAATTGATAGGTTTGGAAAGAGAAGAAGGACACCCGTACTATAGGCGATCATGCGCTTAAATTACAGACTGTGTTAGAGCTTACGTTAGGACAAGGAAATATTTACTCTCTCTGAAACTTAGCGCAAAGTCGCCTGTGGTACGGAGGCTGGCATTCCTGTGTACGATCAAGTGATAATATTTCTGTACAAAGACAGCCCACTTTTATCAGCAGTAGGGGGGGGGGGAAATCGCGAAGCAAAAGAATCAGTCAGGGCTGCCGGTTGGGACGGCAAATGGGAAGTGAAATGAGGTGGCTTGGTGGTGAGCTCCTCTGGCGCGCCATGTCTCCCTCGATCTCGTCCCGTCCGGGGAGGAAGTATGACAACCTAGAGACTGCAGCACCTTGGGCGAAAGAGGCGGCAAAATCGGTCTATTTACCCATAAACGTAACGGAAACCAAAGTACTGTCAGGTTGCACCTCCGACTAGAATAAGACACTACCGCCGGTCAGTTTAAATAAGTGGATAGTTCTACGTGTTTTAAGGCCATATCTTTGCCAGAAGGCATTGGAAGCCGCGACAATGTCGTATGCAGAATTTTCGGCAGTGTTCGAAAGCTTCCACGGATCGCATGTGCCAACCGTTTGGACAGCCTCCCCCCCCCCTTACGGTCAAATGTGGCGTGGGAGTCTCCGACAGCCGCAGCCTGAGTGAAGATTCTCACATAAAACACACAAGCCACACTCGCCGTCACAACGCGAGAACACCCCAAGTCATCCAGGAAAAACCCTAGGGATGGTTTTAACCACCAGTTTGAAACCCCTAAATAAGGAAACCACGAAAGAATGTAAGTCAGACAACAGGAGCATGAAACCGAGCATAGTTGGACACAAACTAGAGGGGCGGATGCGAGACGACCAAATGAGCCTGAGTTGTGCACACACTCTGGAAGCTGGCCATGAATTGGAATATGCAGATAAAAACGAACAGGGTGTACACAGTGTGGAACCTGCACCTTCCACAACAGATCCACAAACCGGCACATCAATCTGCTACCGTTACGCTGAGGGCCAGACGCCGCGACCCAGTTCTTAGACAAAGTCGCAGACGATTGACACGCCCATTCGTCATTGCTCTCGCACAGTGCTCAATGCTAGATTTCCACACGCGCCCGAAAGCTCAGACCAGCACACCGCCCTGATGATCGAACGCCCTCTTAATTTTCCTAAACCCGAATGTTAAACTGTCCGTTGAAATGATTATAACAGCCCTCATAGACAGTATAATATGGAGTCTGGAACAGTGGACCGGTGAGACAACCCAGAATGTCACAAACACCGAAGCATTGACCCAACCAACAACGGGGTGAAGAGTCTTGCTAACCTGAACCGTTTAGGCGCCTTTAGGGACATGACAAAGCTAAGGCAGTCCTGGTCGGAGCAAGAGATCTGCCGAAAATATCCATCGGCAGCGAAAAGGACGAAAGTAGAAAATCGATTGGAGGACACAGTTCGCGAGTAGCATGCAGTGTTGGTCTCGGAGGTGTCTTCGTAATTGCTCGAGCAGTCAGAAAAAGGCATGGATTTCAGGGTGGAGGAAGTACAAAGTAGTTACATGACACATATGCGAAACCAGGCATGTGCGACCCGTCCACTTGGAAAAAAATGTATTTTAAACACTGTGGCCTTGGCCGACGAATCACGTCTCCGACGTGGAACCGTGCGCTCGACCGGGGCCGTCTCCTGTTGGTAATATGGTGGAAGGGTGTCGTCTCAAATGTGCTGACCAGTCAGTCTGTCAGTCTGAAGGAGCTCTTACCTGTGAAGTTACCTATCGAAATCCTTGTGTGAACTGACGCCTACGCCGTGGTGTTAAATTGAAAAGCTGATATGATGAATGCTAAGTAGGTTCTCTTGCCCCTAAGGCTTTGCGGTGGAGTTTAATCGAATCAGTGACAGACCACACTTCCTCGAATAGACAGAGGGGGTATTCGGGGGCCTTGCTTGTACATTACGACAGAAGCCGCTTAATAGTAAATTTCTCACGGCTTTTCGATAGTCGGCAAACATGACAGCGTGGGTACTGTCGGAAAAAAACTCACTAGGGTTCTCGAACACAGACATAAATATTTCCCGAATCTTAGGCCCAATCGATAAGACCCATATGCAGCGAAAGGTGCATGACGGTTAAGGTCGTAGTAGTTATGCAGGTTTACATTCACGAAATATAGTGCGAGATTAAGTCCTGCGCCCAAAGGTGATTGTACACTTCATTACTTGACGACCGTCCGTGTTTAAATGACATAAGAGCACAATGAATATATTTTCTTACGCGACGTTGGGAATCAAGTCGAAAGGTAAAGCGTGCGGTGGCCTGTGAGTGTTGAAGAATGTGAACAATAGCACAAGAGGCCAAACAAGACTCCATAGAATCCACGGAGATACTCGATCCAACAAGCTTAACGAGCTTCAAAAGGAACTGTGAAGCAAGCAAGCCCGTGCGCAGGAGGGGATGTGAACCATAGCACAAGAGGCCGCACGGAAATACTTGGTCTAACAAGCTTGACGAACTTCATAATGAGCCGCGAATTCTCAATATGAGACAAGCAAGCCCGTGCGCACCCGGCAAGAGGGGGATGCACTGTATTGTTATTACTGCGATGGTTTGGCCAATCATCTCTTTAATCGTCGACTGTAGGACATTACAACAACAGGCTACTTCGTATCTAAGTTCATATCTATGAAAGGTATGCAGTTTGCTAGAGTTCGCGTTGTTTAAAAAAGAGCTTTTGCTTCATGACAAAAACACCAGTATGATACGGCAAATTACTATCACTTGAATTTCAAGAAGCACTACAAAACTAGACATTTTAGCCATCGCAAAGCTGAGCGTTCCTTGAAACAGAAACTCTTTAGCTAGTCCAAATAGTAAAATAATCAGCGATAAATTTACAAACAATGGATTCGAGAGTGATCTGAGTTTTCAAATTATTTCATAAAAACCTGAAGCCAGAAGTAAGTTGTATTACTTGGGCGGACCCGGTGGACTCTTGATGCGAGCAGCACTGTTCTTATCACTGATAAACTCGACTTATATCCGGTAAGTGGCCTTTTTAAGGCTTTAGTGAGGGGGGTGAAAGGATGAGTTACTGTGATTTTTGTAAATTCATTGATGAGAATCGGAAAATTCTAAATCCCTGGTTCAAAGTGCAGAAATAGAAACTTTATGGATTACCACTATTTCCGCCGACATTATCGTGCAAAATGGCTATGCGGTGATTGGATATAAATAGAGAATGCGATGCAGTAGCCCGTTCTTAGACCTTCCACGGCCAGGATTCTGATCAAACCGTTAAGTTACGCCAGGAATTTTAGACAGCATCACAAGTAACCCTTACACAGCGATTCAGGGAAAACTTACGACAGTACTGAGTTTCTTTTTGCCTAGAGTGGCTCGTATAAGGCATGTATTTTCACCGGTGGTGTGAGCATCTGGGTTCGCTGTTTGTTTCCTTGGCACTGGTTTCGTACGACCATCGTCTAAAAGGCAGAAATATCCGCAGGTGTGAAAAATTGCGCTGACTTGTGAAAAATATTTTTTTATCATATATTCTATTTCAGAGGAGGCAGCTGCGTCGAAGTTGGTGAAGGGTCTTGAATTTCAGTCAGCGTACTCAGGAGCTATTGTTAGTAACAGAAGTGGTCGCGCTTCCCAATATTATACGCCACACTTACTCTATATCTAAACACACAACTACTACCGACACCAGTAAAAATATATACATTTGTAGTTCAGCCAGATTTTAAGGTTTAGTTGCTGCGAAAATCCCAGCTATCAATCAATAAGGACATAAAAGCAACAGACTTTGAGGGCTTTGTTAGATAAAAGCACACTGTAGTTTACGTGGAAAATGAGAGCCTTAAAACGGCAAAGTTGGAAAAAGGATAGGGCCTGTCAAGAAGCAATAAGCCCGTGGAGCGATTAGGCATAGTCAAGCCTATTTACGATGCCAAACATTTCCGAGGATTGCCCAACCTCTGATGCTGCAGTTTTTACATAGTAAACACCGAGTCGAGGCTTCTGCTTCAGTTCTAGTACTGTAGTCGACAATTGGAGATGATGTGAAAAACGCGGATCCCATATTAAAAGGCCAGCTACCGATACGAAGAGATTGGCCAGTATTGGCTAGAAACTAATCAGCAATAAGCGCGTACACACAAAGAACATCGTGGCGGACTACATGTAAATACAGCCGCGGCTCCTCGCACACATAAAAACGGACAATGAAACGCAACAAATTCCCGACACATCTCCATGTAAAGGTTAATCTCAGTACAGACACACTGATTCGGGACGAGCCGGTCAGCTGTGAAGTACTACACGTGTACACACCATCACCGGCAGCTGTCCTGCCGGGACCCAAAAATTATATTGGTAAACATTTAACAGTTGTCTCATACCTACAGAAAATTTAAGGGAAAAACGTCTTGCGCATTCAGGGAGCACTTCGACAGACAAGCTATATATGAATTCATGCGAGTGGTGAACTTTAGAACACGGCCGGGAGGATACTCCCCTTAGTCGTCTTCGAAAAATATGATTAGATTCATAGAAGGGTGTGCGTAACTGAACTACGAACGCCACGAAAAAGTATGTGCTACATATGTATATACGTTTGCGCAGTAGTATGTAGAAGGCTTACAGCGTTTCATCGTAATGAAAAGCGACCTTCCGGATTTGGCATCTGCGAACATTCTCGTGAGAGCTGAAAGAAACTGAAGAATAAGACGTAAGTGGTATCTTACGGCATCGTTGTCTAACAGCATCGTGGCAGACAGTAGCCGGTACTAGCGACGAGTGCTGTGTCCGCTTTAACCTCCTGAATTTCAGGCCAGTAAAAGTCTCCAAGGTTTTCAGTTTTGTTGAAGACTAATGAATTACTGAGCAAAAGGCCTATCCAGAGATAATTATCTAGAATTCGTCCGAAAATTGAAAAATCTTGCGTACCTTTGCGCTTTTCTGCAAAACTCTTAACGTGTATGAAGTCGGTCAAAATATCCGAGTGTTCATCATATCTTGGAATGCATTGAGATTGCAATCTCAATGCATTCCAAGATATGATGAACACTTGTTGGTGATCGCCCGTCTACAAGCTATCAAGTCCCCATGGGGACTTGATAGCTGGTAGACGGGCGATCACCAACAATAGAAAAACTAAAAAACAAGAGATGTTAATGCAGAAGCCTCAAACGCTCTCCTAGAACCAAAAATTGGTAACAGTTAAGTTTCAGGTATATTTATGTCTTTGACGATTAAATAGCCCTAAACGCTTAAAGCGGCTACAGCGTGATATGCCTTGGGGAAATAAATAAAAAAGCTTATCCATGTTCGGGGTGGTAAATACAACTGCATAATGAAGAATAATCTCATTTGGTCAAAATCGCAAGCCATCACATGCTCTGTAATGTAGAAGGTGAAAGTTCGAACAGGCACTCCACTGAAGGCGCACTTCTACTAGCACTCGATTCTGATGCCTGCCAATCCAGAAAGACTGGTCATCTTGCGGGTAAAACACCCGTGAAAACTCCTTAAAAGGTTAAGCTACTCTTAAAAACTTATACATTGGTTGCGGGATTTTCTCAAATTGCTTTTTTTTAAATTTTCCTTTTCTGACGACTCTCATAAATACGAATATATTCAAATTACGAATTCATTTTTTCTGGCAGAAGTTCGTAAAAGTCTTTCATATTCATACGGAAAACAAATTTATATCGAAAATTTTCCTCTTTGGATATAGAAAAGTTGTGCAAATGTTTGGAGTCTACAATCGGACTGCAAAATTCGCGTACCACAGGCACAAACGGAGAACCTAACTGAGAAAAGTTAGTCGTGCAGACCTCTAACCCACTTCGGCACGACCAGAGAAGCGCTCTAAAGTCTATCAAATTGATAACGACGGACAAATTTGAAAATTTCTTCTAATTGTTGTCAAATGCTGCCCCGGATGGTATCAACTAGATGAGGAAATTCAAATCATGAAGAAGTTTATCCATAGCATGATCGTCTCAGAGGATCAGTAGATGTCCTCCGTTTGAAGGATCGCATGAAGCAGAGCGACAGGCGACCCCCCATACTGAACCCCAGAAAAGAAGCATGTGGCGTGTAAGACACCCGAGTAATACAGAGAAACGCGGTGTTGTTTTGGAACCAGCCAGTCATCATGATGGCGGCAGCAACATAATATTGGCAAACCCGAGACAAACCGAACGAAGCACTGTCGAATGTTGCAAACTAAAATTCTTTTACACCAATGCTCAGAGTCTGTTTTCCAAGCTTGACGAACTGAGAATACAGGTAGCCGATACTCTTCCCGATGTTATAGCAATAACTGAAACGTGGCTGTCAGAGGCCGTTAACGATTGCGAGGTAGCATTAACAGGATACCATTTGTTTAGGAGGGACAGGAGAGGCCGCCGGGGTGGAGGAGTTGCCATGTATGCCAAGAGCAACTTAGCAGTGTGTAAGAGGACCGACAAGATTTCTAACGACACAGAGGCAATTTGGCTGACTATAAAGGCGCGGGGATCTCAGTTCCTCGAAGTCTTAACTATCTACCGGCCCCCGCAGGCGGATCCCGACCCAGATACTTGTCTACTGAAAAGCATAAAAGACATCGCCAGCCGACCAGACGTTGTTATCATGGGGGATTTTAATGCACCCTGCATTCAATGAAGCGATATGCATGCGAAATGCTCGATGAATACCTTCGATTAGCATCTACTAAAGACAACTCTAGAAGCTCTACTCACGCAACATCTCCTGTTTCCAACTAGAGCTCGTGGAGGGCAACAGGCCAGTTGTCTGGACCTCGTTTTTACCAAAGATCCTGACAGTATAGACGAGGTGTACTACCTACCCCCGCTCGGTCGAAGTGATCATGCAGTGCTTTTATGCGAGTACTTGCTGTATTCTGAACCGTGTACAAAAGACAATACGAGGCCAAATATATGGAAAGGGGACTTTCGCCAAATGAGAGCTGAGGCATCACAAATAGACTGGGATGTTCTCTTCTCCGGAAACGTTGACGAGGACTGGAATTTATTCAAGGATCGTTTACTGCATCTTATGAAGAACCACTGCCCCTTATCAAAGCCCAGGACATCCAACCGCCCTCAGTGGCTAACACGAGAACTCAAAAGGGAGATCAACAAGAAAGGTAGGTTGTGAAAAACATTTCGCGAGAACAACAATAATGCAGCGTACAGAATACAAAATTCAAAGAAATAAGGTGAAAAGTCTGATTTTCAGGAGGCGACGGGATTTTGAGAGTAATTTGCTCCACCAAGCCGTTAAAAATCCGAAATTGCTCTACAGCTATTTGCGGAAAAGCACACGTAACAGGAATCCCATTCCTGTTATGAGGGGTGTTGACGGCTTGGAGATATCGGACAGTACAAATAAGGCTGAGCACTTTTCTCAATTTTTCCGATCCGTTTTCACAAGAGAAGCGGACTTTACCCCATCTAATTCTGAGAACATGAGAGATTCCACTATCGAAAATATTGTGTTTCGAGATGAAGCGATTTTGGAAGAACTGAAAAGCTTGAAGGAATGTAAATCTCCCGGTCCGGACGAGATTCCAGCAAAGCTGCTCTTTGAGCTTGCCCAACAGCTGGCCAAGCCACTATCCTTTCTGTTCCAAAAATCGTTTGA